AAGGGAATATTGTATATAAACAGGAAAGTAATAATCATTAAAGAATAAATTTCATTTTCAGTGATTTATATATTTTAAATATTTTCAGTATTTGAGGTGTGTGTGCATACAAATTTGTGTTTGTGGACCAGTATATACTATTACAGTTGCTAATAGCTTGAATAATAAAACATAAGTGTAGTAGATAAGTGTGTATGCTCATATATGTATAAATATATTCCAAAACATACTTAGCTCCTCTCACACTACAACTATTACTTAACTGCTAGGGTTTCTTTCTTTGCCCAACTAAGCATTGGTCTGGTTTTTTTCTCGCTTGCTTAATTGCTCTTGGGGATACTTGTCTCGTGACACTCTACCTGTGTCAATGCACCTTCCATCCTAGTACTGTATATAAGCACCTCATTCAGATAATGTTATCACTTTATCTCGACAAAGCATTCACTAATGGGTTTCTCTGTGTTACGATCATTAGGAGATACTTTGACCATTCTTCGTGTTATCTACTTGATTTTTGTAAAAAAACAACAACAAATTTTCGTTTGACAAGCCGATATACAGCATAGATTCCCAAATTATTATTTCCGACATGGAGGCAAATCGGGTCCTTTTTATCCCACCTCTGATATATAGCGTCGCTCAACACAACAATTGGGGGGGGGGGGGTTCACTCTTAGTGAAGACTGTCAGTAATCTTATTGTAATGAGAAGTAGTGAGGGGTAATCCTAGAAATTTTCCTGTGCCTTCTTTTATTTTGTTGTCTTCTCAGGAAGCCACTTTGGAATAAGCTGCCTCAAGCTCTTTTTTCTTCAGTTGGTCCATCAAGTGTGTGATGTTTTGGGTCTCTCCCCAGTTGATTTTGAGACTACAACTTACTTTATGGCTGAAAGGTATGGGAGCAAGTACTTAGTTTTCCCTCCATCCACTGACATTGTGGTTCATGCAGGGAAGTTTACTGCTCAGTTTTGTGAAGGTACAGCTATGCCTTATCTGCCATCGTTGTCAAAACTACGTGACTTAGCCTACTACCTTCAGGTGGAAGCATATTCTGACTCAAAAAATACATTTACTTCTAGAGCAGACATTGTAGTTGACCTGAATAGATCTATGCTCCCTGGTTGGAGAGTGGTAACTCTACAGACTTACAATTCGTCCAATGTGTTGTTTTCCTAAAACTAAACTTTGTTGAAAGAATCGAAGGATCACCAAATCCAGGGGTCCCAAACTTTGCCAACTGGCAAACCTTCAACTTGTTTACTGTATTGGCAGACCACCTCCCATTAAAATTAGTTTTTATCATATGTAACTGGTGTATCATATGCATATTTTACTACTAAATTTGGGATTTATATATGTTACTATATTAGTTTTATAATGTCTTAGCATTTTATTTTATTCATTATGGTAATTTCATAAATTTGATGTATTACTGTGGACCCACTTAAGTACTATTGTGGACCCCCAGTGGTCTGCAGACCACAGTTTGGGAACCTCTGACCAAGTCCATTAATGATGAGCTGGACCCATTGTTAACTTGCACATTGGTTTGATTGTCAGTTTCTACATTCATCCCTGTTGTTGTTGGCATCTCAATTTTCATTGGCTCCTACAAGGGTCGTAGTTCCGCCCCTATTCAAAGGTCCAAACCCCTGACATTAGCCTCCCAGTCCATTGGTACCCAGAACAGATTCTGTCCATATCCAAGGGTTCCGCAGCTCGGTCAGAATGCCACCAGCAGTATCGGTGATTATTATATGCCTTCAGGGTCTGTGGGGCTTGGCTCCAAATTTTTCTTGGATGTGTGGTAAACCTTAACTATGGATCCATGGGCACCACTGGTCCTGGAGTGAGGATTAGTCATTCAGTTCACATCTTCACCACCATTATCCACCCAACCTTTGGGGTTTCCATCCCCCACAGATCCTCAGCTTTCAAACTTTTTTTTCATCGCCTATCTCAGTCGGGCTATGATTTGTTCCAACCCATTGTTGGGTCCTGTTGATAGAACTAAATTAGAAGCTACATCCTGGTTTTTGCTTCTACAGTATCTTCAGGAGTGCCCACTTCTTCCTCTTCCTTTTGGTCATCTCTGACATGGTACACCCAGCTATATAGAAGCTCAAGCTTCAGGCATGGAGGTTATGCAGTCCTTCACACAGCATTGGGGTTTAATTCCTAAGGTTGTCATGTATTTGTCTCAGTCTTTGCTTAGTCTTGCGATTGACATTTATCAACGGAAATGGCACACTTAACAGCAATGGTGTATTGAGAGAAGGTTGAACCCACTTTGATCAGAAGTTGCAACTATAACTCATTTTTTGACCTGGCTCTTTGACAAGGGTTTTGCACCTTCCACAGTCACCCTGTATAAGGTGGCCTTATCAACTATTGTTTGATACTATAGACAAAAGTTCCTTGAGTCCTGTGTACTCTCTGACTTCCTTAAATTGCTTTGGGTCCTTTGTCCCAAACGACCATTCCAGTTACCTAACTGGTATGTTAAGGTGACATTAAATGCCCTTTCTCAATACTGAATTTGATGTTAGCCTCTTGTGCTATGTATCATCTTTCTTTGAAGGTTTGTTTTTTGTTGCTGCTGTCCTATAAACGTTGCAGGTTAGAGTGGTTTGCGCTGATTGTACACAGGATGCTTTATCATTATACCTACGTCCTCAGATTGGTTCTTCTTCCCTTAGATACTGTCAGCCAGGGAAGGGGATAAATATATTTTCACTGATTCATTTGATTACTATTTCTCACTTATATGCCCAATCAGCTTTTGATCATTTGTTATGTCTAGTGAGGGTCTTAAAGGTTTTGTTACCCACACTAATGCGTTTAAAGATGCTAGACAACAATGTTTTATTCTTTGGGATCATGAGGATTCCCAGGATTTATCCCCAGTTACATTGACAAAGTGGGTATGAAATGGATCTATATTGCTTATTTTGGGCTCTTTTTGAAACGAGGAGTCTTCTGCGAGTCACGTCTAATCAGATTCATCACTTATCTATCTCTTTATCATCCCAGTTGAACTGCCTGTAGGAGGGCATTGTGCAGACTGGTATGTGGACCTACCCTAATACTTTTATCTCACATTATATGTATGATCTGGCAGTATCTTCATCTAAGGGTTTTTGACTACTCGCTGTAGCTATATTCTGCTAGAATATACAGAGGGGTGAGTATTTTCATTGCTACACTTGTTTCAGGATCCCTTACTTTGTTTTCACAGGATCCCACTCTGTGGCAAGTGTTGCCCAAGCAGGTGTGCTTTTATCAAACCCTTTCCACACTAGCAATCATAAATTCATTATACTTTATTTAGGTTGCAACAGGATCTGTAGAAATAAGGTATTCCATAAGACCACCTAGAAGCAGACTGGTTGGTATTACTGTACTATGCTGGACTGCCTCTCAGGGACTATCATGAGCAAATGATAAGGGGATCCTGCTTCTCCCTGCTATTAAAATTTTAGGGAACTTGGTTCACCTATTGCAGTGTTCCTCAGGACTCCCCAATGTGCATTACCCCCCAGATTCTACTAGTGGAGCTAGGGAGTCCTTACCACACTTGGTTTCCAGTTGCTGGGGTGGTGGACAGAGGCTTTTCTTCCAGACTGTTAGAGTGAATTTCCTCCACTCTTGGAGAAGAGGGTGAACTTGGGGGCTCTCCTACCTGGGTCCCTGGATGTTTTTCCCAGATTTTGGTAGGAGAGGTACCAGCCTATGCGGGAGCCTACTCATAATACTGGTTCAGATTTGATAATCGGCTACCTGGTTGGGTTGAGTATATTGCTCATGAAAGAGGGTCCATTGTCTCTGCATAATTCTGAACATAGAGTAGTCCCATCCTGGATCTCTGGTTGGGCACAGTTTATTCCATGTCCTCCCCATAAGCAAGTGGAATTTACTTTCCCACACAGTTGGGGAGTGAGGTTGAGTGTTCATAATTCCAGACTGGATGAGTTCTGTTTCCTCAAGTTGAGTAAGGCATACAAGATCCTGTCATTCCAAATTTTGGAAAGTTGCCTTTCAGACTTCTTCAGGTTGAGGAGAAGATTTATCTATTTGGGTGTTGCTTACCTTCTTATTGTGATTCCAGTGGCTTGGAATGTATCACTTTATGGCTATAGGTTTGGATCCACTCATAAGTAAATATATACATATATTGTGGTCCAATTGCCCAAGCACCAACTCAGGATATAGGGAATATGGACTTATAATTCCAACCCCAAACAGTGGAACCTTGGCTATTTGGTTGGGGCCTGGCCAGTAGTAATGATAAATCATGTACAGTTCCACCCACAGTACATGAATTAAGTTCTGGGTGAAGAGCATACCTGTTCTGGATGTAGTACAGTTCTTCCACTAGGGTGACAATTGACACACCCATTATCTATGCAGATGCTTTCTATATGATTAATACCCTCACTTTATCAATGTGAGGTTCTAGTTGTGTTGTGAGTGGAGGTAAGTATGTTTTAGAAGTTGACATTTTCTTAAATCAAAAATTTATTTCCAATAATACTTTCTCTTTTCACACTCTCCCATCTTTCCTCCCCACTAAGAGCTGGTGTTAGAGACTGTGAATTGAGTCATTCTTGAAAAAGAAATAACATTATCTGAATGAGGGGCTTATATATATAGTACCAGGATAAAGGGTGCATTGATGTAGGTGGAGAGTGTCACAAGACAAATATTGCCAAGGGCAATTAAGTGGGGTACAAAAGACGAGCAAATGAGAAAAAAATCATCCAATGCTTAGACGGGCAAAGGAAGAAACCCTGGCAGTCAAATGATAGCTGTAGTGTGAGAGGATGCAAGTATTATCGGAAATACATTTTAGATTTAAGAAAATGTTAACTTCTGCCATAAGTAAGTTAAAGTAGAACAAAATTTAAATTCATAACTTTGTAACTGATATTTTCTGGTTGAAAGCATCTTTTTTGTAAATAATATGAGCTTGAGTTACTGTAATACAATAGTTACTTTAAAGTTTTACAGATGGCTGAAGGAAACAGTCCAATGACTGAAGAGGATAGACATAGACTTGTTCAAGATATGGATAAAGACTTGGATAATTATCTAAAAAACATGAAACCAAAGAAGTATGCAGATGGATGGTCTGAAGACAATTGGGAGCAGGTAAAGTTTTGTACTTGTAAACATAGGTTGAATGTAATTAATATTTTATTGTGTTCTTGTCACTCAATATAACAATATGAACAAAATACAAATTTCTGACAGTAAAGTTATCTAGCCTTTTAAAAAATATCTGGCTATTGTATGTTTATGAATATACATTTTTATATCACAGTAGAATTATGTGCTTACTTGTTGTTTCACTTAGAAAATCATATATAAATAAACATTTATCATTATAAACATTTTTGTTTTACAATATCAAATAAAAAAACATATGGTAGGTTTTTTTTCACACAAGTAGCATCCCTCTTTCAACTAACATGAATAAGCTTTTGGAAGTGTGTGCTGCTCATATAATCAAGTTTTGCTCACAGTGTTCTCAGGTTAAATGAATTTGGTTTCTTGTAGGCAAACAAAATTGATAGTCAATGCTTGGGGTGACCTTAACTACCTATAACTTATGAAATGGGCTTGGATCTTTTATTCAAAATTTTTTTCCAAACAAACAAGCGAATGCTATTCAAGTAACAGATCATGTTCAATTGCTTATATATATATATATATAGCATATTGTTTCTTTTTTTCATAAGTTTGTTATTTTAAAACAAGGAAGGTTATTAGGCTATTTTGAAGCATATTCAGAATGAAATCTTTACAATAGATACTAGTTTTATGATAATTGTACAGTCCTGTCAATGAATTGAAACAAACATCACCATATAAGATGCATTTTCAAATTATCTCCAATGGTAATATAAACACAATAATTGACAATAAACTACTGACCATCACTTCTTATCATAAAAAAAAATTAAAGATAGATTAAAAACAAAACTCTTATTTTATATATTTTAATATAGCTTTATTATGATCATTATGATGTCCACTTTTTTTGCCAGACATAATATTAAACAGTTTTTTAACTCTGCGGGCACATTAATATATATGTGTAACTAAGTGCCATGATATTACTAGGCTGTGTATAATATAATAGTTTTTTTTTTAATTATAAGTTGTTGTATAATGATATATGTATAATGGAATATTGAGATAATATTTTCTTTGTAGCATCATATCCTTTAGTTGATTTAGGATTAAACTATATATTTGAGAATACTAGAATTGTTTTGTGTATAAAATGCCATGTTTTCTTCACATTTGAAAAAAACAACCTTAAAAATTTGGAGATCTCTCTCTAATAAAGGTGCTGTCCTTCTTCCATTACCATCACCTTGATTGTTTTTGATTGCTCCATGATATATTTCCTGATTGAACATCCTATTTCTGACATGATACGTACCTCTTTTCACATAGCTTTTCCCAAACTTGTGATGCTGTTTGTATGTGCAAATGTGCAAGTTTTCACTTGCCACTAGCCTTGAGGCTCCCATCTGAACTTAAATGTTACCATGTGCCATTACTGTGCTCTAGCATACAACAACCCTACACCAATAGGAATGCAACACACCCTCCTAGCACAGGTGGCTCCCTCTATACTGATTGTTCAGTCATCACTTCTCAATTTGGCACTCGTGTGTAATGACGTGTTTTTTTTTCACTCATGAACTTTTCATATATTTGAGTTTTTTTTTTTAGTGAAAGTATCTACAAAGACATTACCTGTTCTGGAAGTATTTATTGTTGAATTTTTGTTTTAAAACATTTTCTGCACCTGTAGCTTTTGTAGCCTTTTCTTTCCACATTATTGTTTCATATGTGTCATTAACTTCCACTTTGTCTGATGTTCATGCCAGTCTAAAAACTACATTGGTATCAGGTTTGTCTATCTGTTGATAGAAATGACAGCTTTGTGCAGTGAGTGATGGATTCTTTCATGCAGCATTGACCTTCTTTTGTACCTGACATACCTATGTCTTTATTTCTCATTCATGATGAGAGGGATTTTGCCTGGGTTTTTCCCATAACCTAACTTTGCATAATCTTCTACTCATGCTGTCTTGAATTTAGCTAAGCCTTTTTCATAATTTAGTGACTAGGTTTCTCAAGTACGTTTCTTTCCTTTACTTTGTAATTTGTTCCTTTCTTCTTTCTTTTATGTTTTTACTTCGTCTCCAGATATGGAAGTCTATGTTTGATTACTTTTACCACTACTTTAGTCAATGCATGCCTCATCCTTCTTTATTTGTTATCTCATATAACTAAGTATAACTTTGTGCTTTATTACCTTCTTTGACTCCTAAACTCTGAAGTCTTTTCTTCAGACTTAGAAATCAGATCCTCTTTTTTTTTCAACTTTCTTAGGCTTAAGTTTTTCACCTTTGTCTTACACTCTCTTCCACTATTTTTCCTCCATTATTCTTCTTTCCATGATAATCCACCATTCCACTGAGGGTTTTTTTGCTATTGCGCATTCACTTCTCTACAGTGGGGGTGTTTATCTTTCTAGTACTTATTCCTTCCTATTTAATTAACCTGTTGCCACAGTTTGTTGGGGTGTGATGCCCTTGTTACTCAAGTGCTTTTGCCTCCATTTTATCTCACATGATTTCATCTGGCTCCTTTTGTCTGCCAGAGTGCTTGTTTCTCTGGAGTCATATGTTGGGGTCGCATGCCAATGTTATTCCTGATCCTCAATAGTTTGCCATTTCTCCCATGATCCTTCATTTTGTATCCTGTCCTCTTGTTTCCTCTCCTTGTCACCACATCCTGTTTCTCAGTTCCCATCTCTCCTCCCACCACTCCTAGACTTCAGTGTTGTCAGTGTTGGTAGTGACTATCCTATAGGCTCAGGGATAGCAGGGCTCATGTAGTTTAGTTTACAGATCTTTGCCCTCTGTTTGTGTCGAATTGTTGGGCACTTTGAATTTTGTCAGAGAGCTTTACTTTTCATTTTTTCCTCTCCTTCTCCATTGTCTGCTGTTCCCGTTACTTTCTCTCCTCCTAAGGATCTTTTTTCTCGCCAACATTAGTCTGTGGCAGTGTTAGACCTAATGTCTAACACTGCAGGATGGGTTTTTCATTCTTCTCCAGGGTTTTATTACTGTCTTTTTGTGGTTCCCAAGGAATCTGTGGATAGCTTTTTCATCTCTCAGTCAGTTTCTCATCTTTCCTTGATTTACCATAAGGAATTCTCACACCCTATGGTGGTATTTTGCCCCAGGTCTTGAGATGACCATGATGGATGTCACAGATGCTTATTTTCTCATTTAGCTCTGTCTCACAAGCCTCCTACAGCCATCATTTGCTCCTCCTTTGGGGGGTAGTGCATATGGGTTGGTTGGGCAATATGGAGTAGTTACATCTCACACTCACTCACTATCTCATTCCTTATAGTGTTTTTTTTTTCAGTTTGCATCTCCACAGGGCCCAGCCTTCTTCTCTTCATTTGAAGGACGTCAAGCAGTTTGTTTCCCATGCTCTATTCTCTCCTTCTCTCACTGTGTGGAAGGTTCTCTCTCTTTGGGGACTTGGGCTTCAATTGAATCCCTTATCCCCTTGAGTTGTGCTTATTTGAGACATCTACAATGGACTCTGCCCATGATTTGATCCTTGCTTGGGATCACTTGTCTGCCACCATTCTTCCTTAAATGAAGATGTCACATGGTGGCTTGACAAAACTAACATTACAGAGGAAGTTCCTCTTCCTTCCTCTCATCCAGGTCTCCATTGGTTTCCAGATGTGTTTTTAACAAGGTGGGATGGTATCTCAACTCTCAAGTGATTTTAGGTTGGTTGTCACATGACAAATCGTCACCTCATATTGCTCTATTGGAGTGTTTGTTGGTATGTCGACCTTTGAATCATTTTCTTATGATGTTTGGCTGGTGATGATCCATACAGCTAACTCTACAACTGTGTCTTATATCGATCACCAGGGGGATACCCATTGTCACTCTTTCTGTTTTTGTACTCTACCTCTTTTTCTGAGCCCATTCTTTACATATACATATCATCACTTGTCATATTCTGGATGCCTTGCATCTTTTCATCGATCATCTTTTGGAGCCCAACCAGATATGCAGTCTACCCAATTCAGCAATTCAGAATCACAGACATGAAACTGGACATCTGATAACTCACTCAGGATTCACCATTCTTAGTAATGGTAATTTCGACCTTTAACTGTTAATCAAAGAAAGTCAATCCATGAAACAAATTTTCCCTATTTTAAATATAACACAGTCCTCCTACATACGTAATTTGTTTTACAACAACTGCTACAATGAAATTAATTTCTAATAAACCACTTTATAAAATGAATGTTTAAAATAAAAAATTAAAGCAAAGGTTTTTAATCTTATTTCTTCGCTTCCATAGATACTGTATGTAAATAGTCAGTAAAACTGTTAGTTGATTTTGTTGTTGTTCTCGCTTCGTGCAAGTAGAACATTATTTTAATTTTGTATTCTCTAATATGCCAAATTATCATTATTTTCTCTTGTCTGATGATGACCTAAGTAGAGGATCAAAACGTTGCATGGCCATACTTATATATATAAGTATGTATTTCTCTGTAATAAAAATTTTACAAATTATAAACGATGATGTACCAAGTTTTTTGTGATTACCATAGTTCTTCTTTTTCTTATAAAACTGCATTTTCCTGCTGAAAAATCTGTGGCCAATATATATTAATTCAAAGATACTGTCTAAATGCATTATTATCATTCCTGTTTATCTAGTTTGCTTTGCAAATTCAACAATTTCAATTTCCTATTCTTTTACAGTTTCAGACATTAATTTGCTTCTGAAGATTTCTGCATGGTCTACATTTAAATTATTGGCTTTATAATTATGTTTGGATCTGTTTTCAAAGATATGCTTTATGCTGTAGGATGTCATGATTGTATTATTTCTGTCATTGATGTAACTAGTAATTTTATTGCTAAAGGTTTTTAACCTTGATATGTGTGATATTTGTAAGACATGGGCTCAGTCTGTGGATAATATGTTCTCTTTCTTTTCCTCTACTTCTATTTGTTTGTAATTGATAAAACATTTTATTAGGTTTTTTAACTTTGAAGAAAATTTATTTGGAT